AAAAATCGCTTCGAGATGCACCTATGTACCAAATTTCGTAGTCGTGGGTCTATTAGCTTACGCACAGCCCAAACGAAAGACACACAGACAGACAGACTGACTCTTTCTTTTATTATATGTAAAGATTTTTGCCACTTCAAGCACTCAACACACCACAGGCTGTTAATTCTCCTAAATTTTCAGTCGCTTTCATTGATATTTTACTGACATTAGGGCAGTTGCTCCTTAAAAAACGCACAGTGGCATGCTTCCACTTTAAATCAAAGCCTAAAAATGATGCACCTTCTAGAAATCACCATGCCAAGCAGAAAACTATGTTTTTTTTTTCTTCAAACAGTTTACTAGAGTATGAATGAAAAAAATTCTTAAAGAAAATTATAAGTGCTAATCCAGCAAGGCACACAAGTGCTAAGAAAAATTAAATAAAACTTGTCACCTCAAAGAAAAACTACAATTTGTGTAGTATATGTTGTTTTTTTATATTCACTGTGAAATCAAATTTGACATGCTTAATTTTGTTACGGATTGCTCGAATCGAATACCGAAAATTGCAAAAATTGGTCATACGTTTATGCAGCAAAGTGCATAAGTGCACTAGGAATATTTACGTAAATATTTTGTGGTTGAGATAAATTACCTGTGTAATTAGATAAAATAATATAAGATCTCCCAGAGGTCTGAGCGCATTTTAAAATATCGTATAAAATTAGCAAAGGGGCTAATAAGAGTGGATTGGCAAGTAATGGGTACACAGAAGAAAATTTTATTTTAAGTAAACATAAGATATGTTTTAGTTCAAAGTTTCACCTGTAGATGGAGCTGTAACCCTGATATCAAAATGTTCAAATTCATGTCACTTAAAAAACGATGAGTACTCATGATCTCCTACTATGTTATTATCAATATGCTCTCAAATACATTTAAAAAAAAAATCTGATACAGATGCCACAAGACTTCATTGTGTGACCTATTAAATTATACGCATTTTTTCTGCATTTCATTTAAACTTATTCCTCGAATTTCATTAGAGATATATTTCTCATTCAATCAATTCTGTTCTCCTTTCGCGGTCAGGCAAAAAATACATAAAAACTCAAAACATCCTGATTACTAATGTAAAATACAGAAAAACCCAAAACAGTTTAAAAAAAGTAATTTTTACAATTAAAATTAGAGTTTAAGCAGGCCAACGTGCAGGAAAACAAAACTTTTGGTGCACAAAATTGAAAGTTAAATTTTGGTTCCACTATACAAAACGACACGGAATTTCGTGCACCAACTGCCTTAATTCACTATTCTACTGAAAGTTTCAAATGTAAACAAATATCGGCTTCGTTAAGCGGAACGCCATTTCAACTTTTAAATGACTGATTATTCATCAGCTATTGCATTCAGAATAACTAAAGACGTAAAACCCTTAACCGAAATATAGGAATAGACCAATTTAATCACTTCTGAAGCAAAAAAATGCGCAATTTGACAACATATAAGAATTAAAAAAAAAAAACTAAATTCATCGAGCAGGGCAACTGAGTGGGAATATACATATATTCCGATATATCCGAGTTGGAATATACATATATATGTGTATTATATTTATAATAATGATGATGATGATAATTATAATAATTATTTACTTATACTTTCTGAATTTGAATGATATTGCAAATTAGTTACCAGCAATAATTAATCATTTTATTTTATTTGCAATTTAATTTACATAATTTAAAATTTTAATTTACCACATATGAATGAGGTACTTATTATATTGTATTTGCTAAATTCATATTTCATTCCTTCCAGCACTGGCGCAAGAGAATTATTTAAATTTATTTAACGTTACTAATTAGTATTTAATGAAAACGTAATTATAATATTAATATATATATATATATACATTTGGTACCGCAGATTGCAACAAAAGAGGGAGGTGCACAACTACATGCTATAGCAGTCTCATATACAAAATTTTAATGTTCTATGCCTACTATATTTTTAGTTACGTACGTAAACGTACATACAGACTTGACGTACGTACATACAGGCGTACATAATCTCTTCTGAATCCATTTTAAATCCGTTAGGGAATAAAAAAAAATCTTTTTTTCTTTCCGTAACTACAGAAGTCATGCAAAACAAGTGTCGAAAGGGATTCGAGAACGATCAAACTGGAAACTTTCGTTGAAATATGATACCCAAAATTTTTTCATCGCACAGGAAAGCATAAAAAGCATTAATAACTAATGTATAATTGTATTTTATTGTGTGGTATTAACAAAGCTATGTATTAAATAAAATTTTATTTAAAATGTACCTTATTTTCCAAAACAATCTATTTCTATGACAAATATTTCCCAGCAAATCGAGCCTCATGACTCATATAACGTTTAAAATGAATATGTAGATTTATAGACTATAATCCGGACCTCAAAGCTTACAAACTTTCTGCTTTACGCATGCGTATTTAATGTACAATGGACGATATAAGCTAAGCTAAAATTATCTAATTATTTATTTCAGTTAATGTTGCAGATTACGTTGTTCCTTACTCTTCGAATTGGATCCGGCTTATTATTTCTTGCAGACTGTTAGAGGAATTTTATAAAAATAAGCTTGAACTTTCGATTAAGTCAAATAGAATTTCCAATGCTGGAGCTGCCAAAGGATCTAGAAAGCGAAAGCATGTTTCGATGTCCATGAAACAAAAAGTGGAATTGCTGCAAAAAAAGGATAAGGGCATATCCTTTGTTTCTTTTACCATTCCGAAATCTGTTTATCAATTTCACGCTGCTCTGCAGGGAAGGGGAACGTCGCGGCGCGCAATGAACTGGAAGTTGATCTGTCAGCACTATCCTTATCTTCAGGGCAGGTGTTTTTATTTTATTCAGCTTATAATTCATTCCTAACCGTATTTTCATCTCGATGTACTTTGATATGATTTAAATCAAATTCATTATAAATATCACGAATACACATCAAATAGTTTTCTGGTTGCAATTTTCTAATTTCGACTACGCGTAATGTATGCTTTACGCATGCGCGCGTTAAAAGAAATGTTTAATAAAGTAAACAAATAAATATTAAGCATTTTTTTTGTAAATTTTGATACCCTTTAGATCATAATTGTTCTTTATTTCATAAATTAAGGTTTCATATTTTTAATTTTATAATTTCTGCATGCCATCTTACCAGATTTAACTTCATGATCTATAATCCGGAAAAATCGATAATCCGGATTAAAGACTTTTGATTGTAGTAATAAAAGAGAAGCCACAATACCTGTGAGCAAAATTAAATTCTTAAATGAATGAGTTAATTAGTGAAATTCTACCCAAAATAAAGAATTCCGTTTAAGTTAAAACACGCAATTAATTTAAATCAAATAAATAACGTAAAAAGCTAATTGACCTGAAGATATGTGTGTGTTGATAGCTATGAAACAAAGCTTAATAACAATGTTACGAATTTGTAATTAGATAGGTAATTCTAGTAGAATTATAAGTAAAATGGTTGTATTCCTTTTATAATATGAAAAATCTAAAGAGAAGCTATGCCCGAAAAGTAACTATGGTGATGTATCTCATATGAAAAGTAGGATGAGTATATCAGCAAATTGGCAAGATATAGCCAAACTGACAATGGTGTCGGCAACTTATTTAATCGCCAAATTTGGCGACATTTTGCCCCGGTCTTTATATTACCGTAATATGTTCTGAAATTGAATAAACGTAATTGACAACTATGTTAGCTGTAACCGTGATTCCACCCTCCTATTGCTTTAAAGTAATTTTGAGAAACAGAAAGTACTAGAAATATCCCAGCGGCCGATTGAAAACTATATAAGACCGAATAGAGAGCACCTGCTCTTAGTTGCTTAGTTATTGTTGTTGTGAGTTGTTAGTTTAGAGTAAGATGGGAGATATTTCCGGATTAGCTTTCTCTTTAGATGCACTTTCCAATGCGTAGTGTTGTGTTTAACGTTCTTTAAAGTTTAAAGCGGAAGTACTGCTTGTACTCTGTGATCCTGTGTACACCTGTACTAATGTTTCTGTGGAAAATTCCGGATCCTAGAAGAGTTTCTATTAATAAAATTAATCTTATTAACCTATCATCGGACTGTGCGTGTTCAACTTATTACAAATCCGTAAGCACACAATAATAATATAAAAAAATTCGGCTAATCTTTGGAATATAGTAACAGGTAGTTTGGCGACATTTTGGTAAGGCGATAAAGGTTACTAGCTAGGACTTTAGCAATAATCTGAGAAGTACACAGTTCGAATCACAGATTATTTTGTCTCAGAGAAATGAGAGATCATGAGACATGTCATGTGACATTTACCGGAAAATTCCGATCGTGATTTTAGTTAATAAGCACTTAGAAACAATTTTGCCGCTAAAGTGCAGAATCGCCCACTTATTTGTTTAGCGCTTTTTACAAGAGTAGAAGAAATTGGATTTTTTGTCAATTTTTTTTGACTTTTTAAGTGAAAATAGGTCGATGTGTACATGGATAAAGTCAAGCGTGTGCGCAATGTCATTTTTGTGCAATTCTGGGATTTTTTTTAAGTGAAAATAGGTCGACGTGTACATGGATACCGCGTATATGCAATTCTTAAAAACGCACGAAGCAGTGGGCGATTCTGTACTTTCTCCCAATTTCGCACCTAATATTCGTCATGATTAAGCACTTTTGCAACATAAAAGTTTTAGCATAAGCGTAATTCGGCTAGCAGATTGTTGGAAAAAATTTTGAGTTAAAAAAAAAGCCTTTACTTCGTAAAAACAAAATGGCGTCCAAAAAAAAAAAAGAAAACTAGCAGGTTGCTGTAGCAGGGTTGGTCGCCAAATTTTCGCCAAAAAATCGCCAAGTTACCATAATTCGAAGATTTACCAAAAATTCATATACTTCGTTTTCAACGCTTGGTACATTAGCAATGAAAGTTAATAATGACGTTAACAGGGAGAGTTTTGAGCAATATTTAATTTCATTTTTTCAGCGCAAATCAGGATTTTCAAATCAGAGGATTAATAATTCCTAAAGGAGCAGAAATTGTGGCCAATCTGTGGGCCCTGCATAACGATCCGAATTACTGGGAAGAACCAGAAAAATTTAAACCTGAAAGATTCTTGGCTGACGATAATACAACACTCATTAAGCAACCGAAGAGTTATGCTCCTTTCTCAATTGGTAAGTATAGTTTATAAAATATTCAGAAATGAAATTAAAATGAAGTCCAAAGATTTATGTATAATATGATGCCGTCCTGTTGCCATAATAGCAATGAAGCCGGCTGCAATAATCTCTAACCTGGATTCGAATCTCAGAAAAGGCATTGATGTTAGGGTGTGTAGTATCTTATGCAACATAAGGGAGCTTAATTTTTGAGCCGAATCCACTCTCGATCATGGACCTTATAAGAGATAGACTAACCCAGTGGGCGGGGCGCGCGTCACCGACATGTCGGCAAGAAAGAGTAGGGACGATCTGGTTTACTTTAACACTGGAAACCTATGGCGTTTGTATCACATAACTCATTTTAATTATTAAATGTGATACGTTGTATAGTGATGAGATTATGAAAGCCACAGTTTTTTCCAAATAGGATTTAATATATCATTAAAGCACTTTTTACTGCATTTCGCGCATTTTTTTTTCACGCGTAATTTTTGTACAAAACATCTTTACTTTGGTTTTTAAAACGATAAAAACTCTAAGCACAAAATTTTATAAAACTTAATTTTGAGTAAAATAACGTAAAAATAAATAAGATTGATAGTACGCGAATGATGGCTTTGAAATAAATAAGGTAAAATTAAACAAGATCTGATATTTTTTTTTTTTTTTTTTTAATTTAATGAACATTTTTAGGCAGTGATTATCCAAACTATAATAACATTACAAAACGATCATATTTATTTGATTATATGATCATTAAATTATTAACATTAAAATGGATTAGTTATTTTAATAATTCATAAAATTCGGATCATAAAATTTTCTGAGCGTAATGAAGGAAAAAACAAAAAGATAAAATAAAATCTAGAAGCACTCAGATTTTATATTACGCCCAAAAGGAACCTTTTTTTAAACTTTTGTATGTTACCTATATTTATTGAATATCATGTTCTTCGCCCGTAAACCACATACATTTGAAAACAGCATATCTTTAGAATTTCCGCACTGGAGATAAAACTGTTATTTTCCATGCAGTGCTCGCTCTGAACTCTTTGAGTTTGTTAATCAAAAATTCGTTAAAGTTTTACAAAATATGAAATAAATTAAAACAAATTCAAAATTCGGCCGTCCAGATGCCCTAGTTCGGGTGGAGGATTACATTATCCAAAATTTGATGGCTCTAGATACTGTCGTTTTTATCACAGTGCGAGAAACATACATGTATTCATGCAGCTTCTTCATTATTTAATTCCTTTACATATAATACCGGGCGATAATATTTGGTAACAACAATTTGCAAGGAGACACGGATATTTATAGTAAAACAGCGCGAAATGCCGCTTTGAAACTAACAGCCTTTCTAGGCTACCGCCCCTTTGGCTAATAAATTAAATTAACATTAAATAAAAAAATCTTATGCAGAACTAAAAATAAATTTAAAAAAATAATCACTATAAAATACAAGCAAAATTAATTATTACGGTTAAATACAATTTTAATATTAGAATTAAATGTAAAAATTTTTAAGGCGTCAAAAGTGTTTATCACTATGATGTATTATGAAATATAATTGAAATAAAATTCCTTTATAGAAATTGTGCTATAATACTCATCTATAATTTTTAAAAAAAGCAGCACAATTTAGAATTTTAAAACAAAACTTTCAAAAAATCGTTTTTAAATATTTTTAGTATTTTTTACTTTTTTAGACCAATAAAAAGCATAAAAATTGCAAGAGAAAATTGCTTGTTTGAAATTTTCTATTAGTTCAGATTTAAAATATTTATTTTCTTAAAGAAGTAGTTACAAATTCCTTACAGCGTAGGAAAAAGCTAGAAAAATATCCAGGGCCCTGAAAGCATGCAATAGCTTTTATAATTATTTGGAACGTTAATTAATGCTTGATAAATATGCTAAATTTTTAAAAATCAATCTCAATTTCAAAAATAAAAATATGTAGAAATTTTAATTTGTGAAATGAGGTGCTACAATCAGCTTTATCTTGAGAATTATACACGCTGCATGCAATAGGCAACCGATGTTAAATTTCTGCAAGTCGTCCCTACTCCTCCGGATGTGATCTAGGTGACAGCCGGCAACGCCTCAGACGAGGGAGAAAACTCGTTTGGGTATTCTTACAAGAATTCTTCTATTTCCCATGCTCTCGATAGGTTGGTAGTAGGGGAAGAGAAGTAGGAGACCCTTGAATCCCTCTCCCATGGCCTTATGTTACACGCCTATTTTTTTCAAGTTACACGCTTATTTTTTTCCAATTTTATATACCAACGTCTAAGGGCATTTTTTCAAAAGCGGTGGTTAAAGCAGCAGAGGTTGTTAATTGCTTCTTAATTTAAAAGATAAAGACCATGGCGTTCTGCTTCAGATACTTAGATACTTAGTTGTAATATACTGGGTTTCAACTGCACTGCGGCAGTACTTCCCAATAGCATGAGAGATATCCCGATGGAACATAGCTTTGAAGGAAAATCAGATAGTTCCTGTAGCAGGAAAAATCAGAAGAGGCTAAAACAAAAAGAGAAGAGCGATACAAAGTCCCTTGCAGTGCCGCCATCATCAAGTGGTACTGGAGACACCATCCTTTTAAATTTACCAAATTAATTAATTTAATTCAGGCATTTAAACAAATTTCTTGAAATATTAGTGACCATTTAATAATATTTTTTAATTAAAATTTACGGTAATGTTAGCTTCAGGAGCACGTTCGTTTCCCTCAAAAACTAATAATAATTCCTATAAATGAATTTAATTTTCTAAAAGTTATAGCAATACATTCAGATGCTTATGAATCCAGGAATACTGAGAGGATAAGACATTGATAATTCGTCTGGAATTGAGTTCCAGGTAAATGGAATGATTGAGTGAGGTTTACCTTATGTTTCCCATGTGATTAAGTGATTAAATATGTGCTTCGGTGTCCCTTAAGGACCGCACGATGCAGTTGACACTTTTGGTGCTCTTTGTCTCAGCAGGAAACGTAGGATCAGCATGGCGATTATATGTCAGCAAGGAGGTTATATGTCAACAGTACACTCGTGCCCCAACGGCCAAACCTCTGGAGGGCTGATCATCAAAAAGATTTCCCACTCACAGTACAAAAGGTGTGCAGCCCATGAAACTGGAGAGAGACGGATCGTCAAATTTGCCACTTGCAAAGTTTTTGACACCATGGATTTTCGACATCGATTATTCTGTGGGCTCCCGACTTACGATGGTTGTAGGTTGTAGGTACCTTACCCCCTTCCACATGTTACACATCAGATGTTGATTGCTTATATTGTGATGATATATTTTCAAACACATAAAAATCAGAAGGGTCGATCCAAGGTGGAAAGTGTCTTTTCTTAGGTTACTTAGGTTAGGTTAGGTTAGTGTATACGAGCCAATTTCCCTTTGAAAGTCCTCCACGAAGGCATCCCTCCCCTTAGGCAGATAGCCCTCGAGGCACTTCACACATGGGGAAAACCACGAAACACCCATGCAGCCAGCCCGTTCGCGGGATTCTAACTTCGGACCGAACTACCAGTGTTCAGCGACTTTACCGCTCGGCCGCTTGTGGGCCAAAGTGTCTTTTCTCTGTGCACACGAAAGCTGCAATAGTGCGTGGTAAAGAGATAACTGTTTACTTGCGAATTTTGTTGAATAATATTCTTATGTCATATAAAATAAAAACTGCGACTTTTCCACCGAAAATCTAATTTTTCTAATATTCTATGAAGTTAACATGCGCACCTGGTCTTATCTCCTTTTTCTCAGGGGGGAAAAATCATTAATAAAAGCGAACACAAACTACGAGAGGAATGATATATTGTACTCGGTTAAAAAATTAATAATTTAATTGAATCTGACAAACTTTAGGTCGACTACTTTAGTTCTAGCCCTGAAAGTTTATAAAAATTGGTACTTCTTCGTTATAGCTGCCCTCAACCATATTTGGCAATTTTAGATTTGAGCGAAGATCTCAGGTATAATTTCGCTAAGGTCGAGGAAATCGAATGTAAAAATAAACAACAAAATATATAATAGCAACAATAATACTCACATATCGTTTCCTAAGAATATTTTCAAGAATCCTTATTATTTTATGGCCTGTAATTGTTCCAGTCAACTGCAGCGCTTTCAGACATAATAAGCACCATCTCATGGACACAAACGCCTCTGCCCAACGATAAATAAATCTAATAGCAGTAACGAGCGATATTCTGGATTCGCTGAACCAGTTTCGAACACGAAGGCCCTTCTTTTTGCCATTTTTAACATTGTACCTCCAAATGATTTCGTGCTCAACATAACGTTTCATATTGTAGGCTTTTTCGCATACTCGTTTGCCACCAAGGAGGTTAGAACTCATGGAGATGCCCTCCACGCAGTTCAAGTGAAGCCAAAAAAGGGGGGAAGCATGCCCTTAGTAGTCGTGGCTTAAAAAGATTGACGTGCTCTAACCACACCCAATTTTGTTCCTGGTACTCGTAAAGGATAGCAGATTCTTCACGTCCTCTTTCCCTTACTTTTCTCGCCATTTCATTTTATTTCTACATTATGTAATTGAAATAATTTCTGCATTATGCAATTGCATCCTGTAATTAATGAATGCTAGCATTAAAAGTATTGTGAACGCAGAACACTAAACTATGTACTCAAACTATTATTTGATTATAATTTACTTATTCTATGTATATATAATTCTCAACTTTTACATGTTATAAATATTCCTTATGTTTCGAAAAAAAAAACTTAATTTGAATAAACAATGATAGAAATATGTAAACTTTACGTTGTTATTTTTTTTTAAAACTCACACAAAATGTGACTAAAAAATCAAATTCAGTTATTTTATATCTACTTGAGCACAAAATAAAATGTAATTAAACACATAAAAGGTCAGACTGTAATGTAATTATGATCAGACATTAAAGTAAACTGTTTTCTTTCTAGATGGAGAGCTAGCCACTTCCCCTCCCCTTGTTTACTTATCGTTTTGCTATCACATATAAGTTAATTACGAATATCGCTTTTATTATTATTATGAAAAGGTAAGTCTGAGAACTATATGTGTTTCCTCGTGTACTTTACACAAAGAAAATACTCAAACTCTTTCTTGAAGGCCATTGAAACACAAGTTTCGATTATTCTACTTGTATATGCACGTTCTAAAACATTCTTTTACATGGACATGAAGTCGGAAATGTAGACATAATTTCGCTGTAACAATTCAGTGCCTTTTATTCCTTTCAGATCTAAGCATACAAAATCAGAAAACACACTGAGAACTTGAAACCAGCTGGCGTTTTACCTCACTTCGCTTAGTAAGGTAATCGTTTTCTTGCCCTCACAAGGCGTGGCTTATTTTCTTTCCCCTGGCTTCACTTTCTTCCTACTGCAAAAGCAGAGACGCCATCTCCCTGTATTCTAACCTCCTTGTTTGCCACATAAAAGTTTCTTTAAAAAAAATGGTATGGCATCCACCTCATTACTTGGTAAAGGACTGTTAACGTCATATTCACAAAGAGCGATGAACACATTTTTAAATAAACAATACGAATTCGAAAACCTCACCAAAAATTAATAATAGGAGAACATACGCCGAGGACAAAAATGCAGCACCGTGCTAATACAGTATCACGTGACGAAATATAAGAACACGCAGCCGTGGCGAAGTATGGCGAGATATCTGGCTTGATTGGCGATTTAATCTCGGCGGTTGCTATAACAAAAAAGTACCTAAAAATTCCTAAGGCAATATCTGTGGCAAGCAATTAAATTAAATAGCTTTATTAACTCAAGACAGGTTCAAATAAAGAATACGATTCTGTGTAGAATCTTATAAATCCTTTCATAAAGAGGTACTTCGGTATTATCGCAACCATCTTGGCGAAATCCGGTGATATTTAAGAAGAAAAAGAATGCTAATTTTATATCGAGAAAGTTATTTATTTTATATCGTACATGTTATTAGGTTCTTATTTTACTGCAATACTATCTCGGAAAACAATTTATAAAACTACTTTTAGGTAGTACCTTTCGCATGTAATTATTCCACTCTACCACGGACTTAAAGGCCATTTCTAACTCTTCCAAGCAAAATTTAACACTCGTTTATTCGTTACTCCAGCAGTATATAACACCCACCAGGTGCAGAGCGGTAAAGTTGCTGTACACTGGTAGTTCGGTCCGAGGTTCGAATCTTGCGAATGGGCTGCCTGCGTTAGTGCTTTCGGGTTTTTACCCATGTGTACCGTGTATACGACCCAGTATCTTTTAGAAAGTCCTCCACGAAGACATCCCTTCCCTTAGGCCCTCGAGGATTTGCCCTAATCACATAAACCAAAGCAACCCAGCAGTATATAAAATTCGACTGCTGTAGTCAACGGCAGATGACTATTCACCAATTACTGCTTCGAATGCAGACGCGTTCGTTAAACCTTTTCACGTACCACTTCCAAAAATACTGTTTTACAAAATACATCATCATCAAATGGGGCCCACCAGTGGCCGAGCGGTAAAGTCGCTGAACACTGGTAGTTCGGTCCGAGGTTCGAATCCCCCGAACGGGCTGGCTGTATGGGCGTTTTCGTGGTTTTCCCCATGTGTAACGTGTATACGAGCCAGTTTCCCTTAGAAAGTCCTCCACGAAGGCCTCCCTCCCCTTAGGCAGATAGCCCTCGAGGCTTTGCCATAATCACACACACACATCATCATTAAATGGGAATATGAAAAGTTCCTCCTTTGTGGCTAAGTATTATATTCCTGGAAAATTTTCACAGAACTTTCTTCGTTTGCTGGCACAAATCCCACAATCGCGTATTTCAAAATTCAACCGAAGATAAAAAGTATCACAAGTCTTTAAAGCTTCTAATACAGCCAAAAACAGCATGTCCAAAAATGGCGACGTTGCTTATTCAAACTTACAGTTATCGATATGGTTACCTGAAAAACTGTTATGCGCATGGTTGCCACAGTTTGGTAGCTTCTGAAAATTTGGCGACTTCTGCCAAGGTGGTTGCGATAATATCGAAGTACCCATAAAGATTTTATAATTGACTAAAATTCGAAATAATGTGTCTTCTTACCTTCGGCTAATATAGTTTTATTTAATTTTCTTTGCATTTTCGGCCTTAAAATATTTTTAAAAAAACTTCTTTCAGCATAATAAAGTTTAATTTCAGTTTTTCTTCCAATTCCCTTGAGTTCATATTTATTTATTTATTTTACTAATAGCCCTTTTCGGTACTTACGGAAAATCCCGTCGGCCGCAAAAGACGGCGCCAGTCGCGCCAAACAAACAAACAAAAAAAAAAAAGTTCCTATTCTTATTTTTTTGTGCGCGAACTTCTTTCAGGTAATTATTCCAATTTATAACAGTCTTTCTCTTTTCCCCATTCAATAGTCGTCAATTCTCTGCGCCAACTATAAGTGAATCAGAGTGCAGTTAGGAATGAAATAGCAGAACCCTCGAACCATGTTCCCTTTCGAATTGACACTCGCTTCTCACAAGCCTTAACGTTGCACGCCATTGTTTCTCCGTTTTTAAATAAAGCGCCATTTTGTGGCCATTAACGCAATTTTTTGAGGCCGGTAAGATTGCCTAAGTTTGGAAATACACTGACTACCAATAAGTATTTGGACACCTGTGATAGAAAAGAAAAACTAACTTTATTCAAAATCAATAGTTGGTAGAGCCTCCACGAGAGGTAATTACAGTATGGACCCTCCGGGGCATACTTTCCACAAGTCTTTGTATGACAACTAGTGGTATTTTCTTCCACTCGGCTTGGAGAAGACATAGAAGTTCCTTCACCGATTTTGCACGGGTAGTGCACCCCTGAATTCGGCGATGCAACCCGTCCCAGAGGTTCTCGATAGGCCAGTCCATTCGATGAACTCCATTGGCACCATACCAAGCCTTGGTTAACGTCGAAACATGACAACTGGCGTTGTCGTCCTGAAAGTAACATGGGTCCAACCCGTAAAACTGCCACAACGTAAGAAGCACATTGTCATCCAAAATCCAAGGCATCGGAGTTGAGCTTACCAGGAATGGGGACCAAGGGTCCCAGCCCATACCAGGAGAAACACCCCCAGACCATAATTCCACCTCCGCCGAACTTGACTGTTGGCACAATGCATTCTGGCAGGAAACGTTCTCCAGGTAGACGCCAGACCCAGAACCTACCATCCGAACGGTAAAGGGTGAACCTTGATTCGTCACTCCAAAGAACCCGCTTCCACTGATCTACGGTCCAATTTCGATGTGCTTTTCACCACATTAACCTAGCAGCGCGGTTGGACTTTGTGATCAAAGGCTTATGGGCAGCAGCACGACCATGAAAACCTAGCAAATGTGCTTCATTACGGATGGTATTCAATGAAACAATACTCCCGGATGCCTCTTGAAACTCCTCGCGGATGAGGGCCATCGGTTGAGTGCGGTTCTTCCGAATTTCTCCGGACAGCACTCGTCGGTCTCTATCTCCCAGTTTTCTTGGTCTGCCGACTCGGGGCACATTCCGACAATCACCGCTCACCTTCCACTTCTTAATCACATAGGCCACTGTCGATTTTGGGTACTTCAGATCGCTAGATATATCCCTTATGGATCGGCCACATTTGTGATACCCGATAATTATACCTTTCTCGAAATCAGAGAGCTCCGAACTGCGAAGCATCTTGCATGCGACTAAAGCCAATGCTGTTTCCTACACGATATATACCGGCGGAGTCCATGGCGTACCTTAGGACCGCAGATATCGTCATTTGCATAGGTGTCCAAATACTTATTGGTAGTCAGTGTATTCAACAGCATCCTCTTCTGTAGTAGGGAAGTTACCAAATTTTAATGTTTTTAAATGCGTTATAGAGGGGGGAAAGGAGTCTTTACTCAAGAATAATAACTAACACCTGTAATTAAGGTTATACCAAACCCACGTGTGTGAAGAAGACTTTTCCATTTTTGGCGAAACATCGCGCAGTTTGGCGTCTTTTCTTTAATAGGCAAAAATGGTCGACGGGATATTTCGTAAGTATCAAGTATTTTTCTTCTTTATTAAAGTGATTCCTTTAAAACTTTTTTTTTTTTCATTTAACTAATCTTAAACTTCTTTTCTTTTAGGCAGGAGAAACTGCCCGGGTGACGATAGCTTGGATGGAAATTCTGGCCTATTTCTCGGAATTAATTAAGCGATTCGAAATATCCACTCCACTAGGAGTCGAACCCCACTTCGAAATTGTCAACGGACTAGTAGAACATCTAAAGCCACAATCCCTAAGTTTCAGAGAAAGAAACACGCAGAGTTAACTTTTAATTCTTTAGATTGCAACACAAAATGTACAATAAATTCTAGCCAGTTTCAAAAAATAATTTTAATAAGTTTCAAAATGCATCCACAGCAGAACTGATTTTTAAATTTATAGTTCCATGAAAAATAGAACCGAGGGAAAAACAAACATGAAATCATTTGGATAAAGAAAATGAAGTTTTAATTAAAAAATTCTCGAAAGATGCGACGAAATATTTTTATTATGAATTTCTGTAAAATTATAGCATACAATAAATAAAATTAAAATTTTCTTGAAGCCATTTTCATGTTGTTATGAAAATATATTGCACGTTGTACGCAAAGTTTACGTGATTTTTTGGAAATTATTTATGAAGTTGTTAATTTATGAATATTCTTTCGCTACTTGCAGTTGCTTCAATAATGCTTAGTTCTTTTTTCCAGATGTGAATACTGTTATTCAAATGTTAGCTTCGAAAATTTTAACAAAGGCCTCTCACTTTATCTTATAAAATAAACATTTTCCTTCTTTCTGTGTTGTTCAATACATTCTCAATCTAACTTAACTGGCATTGGGTACTTGCTTCAATAATTCTTATTTCTTTTTTCCAGATGTGAATACTGTTATTCAAATGTTAGCTTGGAAAATTTTAACAAAGGCCTCTCACTTTATCTTATAAAATAAACATTTTCCTTTTCTTTGTGTTGTTAGATACATTACTTTCAATCTAACTTAACTGGCATTGGGTACTTGCTTCAATAATGCTTATTTCTTTTTCCAGATGAGAATACTGTTATTCAAATGTTAGCTGGGAAAATTTTAACAAAGGCCTCTCACTTTATCTTATAAAATAAATACTTTCCTTTTCTCTGTGTTGTTAGATACATTACACTCAATCTAAATTAACTGGCATTGGGTACTTGCTTCAATAATGCTTATTTCTTTTTTCTAGATGAGAATACTGTTATTCAAATGTTAGCTTGGAAAATTTTAACAAAGGCCTCTCACTTTATCTTATAAAAAAAAAAACATTTTCCTTTTTTCTGTGTTGTTAGATACATTCTCAATCTAACTTAACTGGCATTGGATACTTGCTTCAATAATTCTTAATTCTTTTTTTCCAGATGTGAATACTGTTATTCAAATGTTAGCTTAGAAAATTTTAACAAAGGCCTCTCACTTTATCTTATAAAATAAACATTTTCCTTTTCTCTCTGTTGTTAGATACATTACTTTCAATCTAACTTAACTGGCATTGGGTACTTGCTTCAATAATGCTTATTTCTTTTTTCCAGATGAGAATACTGTTATTCAAATGTTAGCTGGGAAAATTTTAACAAAGGCCTCTCACTTTATCTTATAAAATAAATACTTTCCTTTTCTCTGTGTTGTTAGATACATTACACTCAATCTAACTTAACTGGCATTGGGTACTTGCTTCAATAATGCTTATTTCTTTTTTCCAGATGAGAATACTGTTATTCAAATGTTAGCTTGGAAAATTTTAACAAAGGCCTCTCACTTTATCTTATAAAATAAACATTTTCCTTTTCTCTGTGTTGTTAGATACATTACACTCAATCTAACTTAACTGGCATTGGGTACTTCCGATAGTAAATAAATAAAAATCTAAAATCTTTCAGATTTTATATTACCCCACAAAGAGACTTTTTTTAACGTTTTGTGTGTTACCTTTATTTATTAAATATCATATTCTTCGCACTTAAACTATAATATTTAGTTCAATAGCACTATCATAAAATATTTAAAAAGAGCATTTATTAAGAATTTCCGATACACAATCTCGCGCGCTGGAAATAATTTTTTTTTTTCCCGTGTTGCCGTTGCTCGCTTTCAAATCGTTGTATTTGTTAATCAAAAATTCGTTAAAAGTTTCACAAAATGTAAAAGAGATAATAAAAACTACTTTCAGATTCCAATTTGGGCTTTCAAATGCTTATATTCGAGTGTAAGACTACGTTATTCAGAATTTGATGTCTGTAGGTACTGTTGTTTTCAAGACTTAATTTCTAAAATCAGAAGTACCGGAGCCCTATGGGAGACCGTCAGCAAAGAGAAACAAAAGCAAATAAATAAATAAAATTACTATTAAAATCATTAATAATTTAAAAATTAAATAGTTTAGTTATCCTCAAATATTTATTAATTATTTAATCAATATTAATAATTAATATTTATCGATTATTATTTAATTAAATAAAGACTAATTACCATTTATTTAAATAATTAAAGATTTAAGTAATTAAATAAAAATGTTAAGAGATAAACTAAAAATTAATAAGCGATTTTTAATATAATTTTATTGCAAAAAAAATTTTTTTTCGAGACCAAATTTCTACTGAAATTGTTGTTCAGTTACATAAAAGAAGTGCCGGAGCCTTCTTATTTAGGGCTCCGTCTACAATTATGATTTATCCCCAAAATTAAGAGTACCGGGCTCCGGCGCAATTTAAGCTCTGTTTGTTTTTGCATAATGCGAGAAACATGCATACATTCATGCAGATTCTATATTATTTAATTTCTTTAAATGCAGGGCTCTCATATTTGCTAGTAACGCCCTTTCATAGTGGACAACGCAAAATGCCAAAACAAAATTAATAGCTCTCTGGGCGAATTGTCCATTTTGGCTTAAAAAAAAAAAGGAGGGAATATATTTTTTTATTCCAAAACATAAGTTACGTTCTGAATAACCTACATATTTATATACTTTTCTTGCAGCCAAAAAGGGAGGTGCACAACTATATGTTATAGCAGTCCCATATACAAAATTTCAACGTTCTGAATTTTGAGTTATGCGAGATACATATATACGTGCGTATGTACGGACGTCACTTAAAAATTTCTTCTGAATCCAATTTAAATACATTTTCCAATCCTTTTTGGGGAAAAGAGTCCTTTATTCCTTACGTACAGATGTCACGCAAAAACATCGTTAAATCGCTTTCGATAGCTGTCAAAATGGACATTGAAATATTATACCCGAAAATTTCGCGATTACAATACTTTCTTTACTTCGTTGTAAAAAAACTAACGAATATTAAAATGCTACACTTAAATTATACGACATTACCTATGTAATAGGTACACTCAAATCAAGGCCGCCTTCACTTTTGAGAAGCTTAAGGAAGGAAGGAACCTTTGTATATTACTAATTTCGTTCATTAAAAGACAAAACATTCAACAAGTATTAAAATAATTTACTTTTAACAAGCTTAAGCAAGGAAGCGTTATTGATTATTAATTCCATTCATTAAAAAGACGAAAAAGTTTCAGTTGCTTTAATTATACGACACTACCTATGTAAGAGGTGCACATTTTAACACTCTCCCACTCAAACACTGTCGACATTACTTTAGCAAGCCTCTGGAAGGAACCGTAGCTACATAGCTACTACCTGTTGGCGCTTTGCTTGCGTCACGTAACGTTAGGGTGAATTCCGTATATAAAACATCTCTCCAAATTCCATTATTTAAAGTGGTGGTTACCCCAAATATCATGCTTGCAGATTTAATTTTTGTCTTGAATATTTCCTTGCGTTTTCTCTTACTACATTCTGATTTACCGCTATATACCAATGAACTTCTTAATCTTAAAATCTATCCTTTCCGCTTTTTGCTTTCATGTTTTTTTAAAAGTATAAAAATATAAAAAAATAAAAAATAAAATAAAAAAAACTTTAAAAAAATTTTTTTTGAATGCAAAAAATTATAAAAACCGAAAAAATAAATTACAAAGATAAATCAAGGAATGACTTTTTCCTAACCATAAACTCGCTCGAGCTAATGTGGCTCTTGCATTAAACTAACTATTTATGCAATTAACTTGCATTAAACTAACTATTTATGCAATTATCCTATTTCTGCTCGCTACTTAGGTATTTTTTTTTTTTTTTTTTTTTATGTGGAGGTACCTGGTTCTTAGAAATATAGCTAATACTCCGAAACAGTTAATCATTGGCAAAGTACTAGTAAGAAAATTAAACCAGACAACATCGCGTTTACCTACGCGTCAGTTCTAACGGAAGAATTCCACCACCATAACAGATGACAGCTGGACATCTCATGGAAGTACCTTTCCAGGTACCGGACGCACCCCGTAGGTTAATAATTGCTGAGTAAAAATCTTAGGACTAAATACTCAATCTTACGGCAATTTACGCCAGGTAACGGACGGTTTGCTTTTCACACCATCTTTTGCAACTAGACTATTCCTTCAACTTCACGGACGTTATTATTTTGGACACTTCTACTTCGCAATTCTTCAATGACATACTATCTCTTCGAATTGCTATCACTACTTATCTAAGTTATGATCACTTCTTTCAGGTGTCTTCTTTCAGGAACTTGCATACGTGACTTCGATCGCGTTTGCAAAAGTGGCCCAGCTTCAGTGCGCGTATTATATACCAAGCAAGTGCAAAAAGAATAGAAACAATCTCAAAATATAATAGCTACATATTATTGCAATTATAAACGTAATTTAATAATTTAGTAAATACTGGGAAAGATGTACTCCCTCTGTTCCAAATTAGTTGCTATATTTCAAGTAGGTGGAGTCATAAATAACTTTCGATGTAGTTTAGCAGATTGACAGAAGTCAAATTATACATCAATTAAAAATGTTTTATTTGCGATTAAAATTATCACAACTTGGTATTTTCATTCTTGGTTTTTACTTTCCACAAATGTAGCACTTATTTTGGGACAAATTTTTCGAAGAACATTTACAGGTTTCACGCTCTTAAGCCACGCCCCATTTTGTAAAGTCTCTACCAACAGTAATATCAGAAAGATCATGTTTATGTGATTAAAGCAAAGCCTCGAGGGCTGTCTGTATATGCCTTCGTGGAGGACTTTCAGAGGGAAACTGAAATGAGTGTCACAATCCTGATGCCACACAAGGTCCAAAGCTTTTGCCATGTCTAACATCATGATTGCGCTACTCATTTCAATTTCCCCTGGAAAGTCCTCCGCACGAAGAAGCTTTTGACCGCGTCTGGCACCAAGGTCAGCTCTACAAACTTTCAGACTTGACTTTTCTCGTGAACTGGTTTTGCTGATAAACTCTTTTCTCGAAAAGCGCACTTTCACTGTCAAACATGGAAAGATGATTTCTACTGTAAAGAATATCCTAGCTGGTATTTCGCGAGATAGCATCCTTGGACTTTTATTTTACATACTTTACGTTAACGATTTCCCCAGCTTTCCAGACGACGCTAACATTCTCCTAGCCAGCTACGGCAATTGTTTTCAAATAACGTCGAGCGGACCATGCTGTGGCCAGGCTGCAAGAGAAAATTCCAGCCATAGAAAGATGGTGTGGTTGTTGAAAACCTGCATTCAGCCCACAAAATCTAAAATTCTTCTTGTCAAGAAGTATCGTAGACTCGACCAAATTAAAACTCAAGTCACCCTTTTTGGCTCCACAGTCCCAAGAATCAACAAAGTAAGCTACCTCGGAGTTATCTTCAATAGTATTAAAATAAAATAACTTTACCTATAAAATTCTACA